TATGGATGTAGCCAACTTTGTAAGTGATGTCATGTTTTTTTCAAGGATACTGCTGTCCGGAAACATTTCTTCATTTTAATGTCTGGCATGCTTGTTGCTAAGGAACCATTTTCTAAAAAAGTGTGGTTGATTGACATTGATGAATAGACCATTTTTGTATTCTCGGTATTGGACTAGAACTAGCCTGCAAGTTCTCTGAACTTTAAAATTTATTTTCTCAAGTTCCCTTGGGAAATTGTTTCCAGTGTTATTACAGACAACTATTTATATCTCCAAAAATATACTTAATACACAGTTAGCAGGGATCATCCTTGCCTGATTGCATTGCTTTGCTTAGGGCCACCTTCCCTAAGTGCCAAAATATGTATTATATTGCAGGAACAATTTCTACATGAGAGAATAAAGGTCAGCGGCAAGACCAACAACTTTGGCAATGATCTGTCCATAGATAGACAGAAGAACAAGATCACTGTTGTTTCAGACATCCCGTTCTCCAAGAGGTGAGGCTGATGACAACTTAAAATATTACAAACATGGAACTGGCAAGCAACCTGTGGCATCTATTTATGTTGGTAGTTTGGCTGCAGTTTTATTGTCTTTTTGTGAACTTTGTTGGTGTTTGTTCTTTGGAGTGATAACCCTGTGGACTGAGTAATCAGGGATGCTATTTGAACCAAGATTACTGTACTATTCTTTCCAGTAGACTGTGACATGCATGATATTACTACACTTATCAATTGAGTAATGTGTGACAGAACTTTCGTGACAAAGTTTTGGACTTAAAATTGCAGTGTTATCACTGGCAACTTTCCTCGTTTCCAGTGGTAACAATATCGATATCACACCACTGAAATAAGAGCCGGTTGCCCGTGACAACAACAAAAGTTGAACGTTGTAACACGGTCACCAAACTTTCGTCACACCTTACTTAACTGATAATTGTAGTACATTTCAAACAGCTGCTACATGTCATGTACATGTCGATATTGCAGTGATGCACTTTTTTGTTTCAATAAAGTTGATTGCTTGGTACACACAGCAAGGCCTAACAAACATGTATGACTTTTAGTCAGAATGAAAAAAAATTCTTGGTGTTGCCATACTTGCTGTATGGCAACACCACGATTTACAAATTCTTCTCGTGTCTTCCAACATCCCGCATGGTTTATCAGCCTATAAACCATAAAAACTTGTGGTCTATTGCTTAAGTATACTGACAATAAGTTGTAAGTGTACAGAGATTTGTGTTTCATCTGATATTATGAAGTTTTTTTGTGTTGTACCATTGCTTGACCAAAAGTCCACTGTAGCTTTAGATTTCTTTACTGGGGCAGAAATACCATTTTCTTTCATGTCAGGCTGGGAGATGCAATCTCTAAATGCCCTAATAATTGGTACACAGGACTGAGGAGCAAGTGGTCTGGGCTCAAACCCTGGCCGAGGCCATGTGTGTTTGTTGGGGGGACACTTAACTTTCACTGTATCTCTCCACTCAGTTGTATAAATGGGTACTGGTAAATTTAATGCTGGGGTAACCCTGTGATGAACTAGCATCCCATCTGGGGGAGAGTAGAAATACTCCTAGCCACTTATGCCACAGGAACCAGAGATAAGCTCCAGCAATATGAAGTACTGGTACTTGTCTCCAAACAAACTGTACCTTTCTTGTCTTCTTGTCATTCTTGATACATTTGAAACTCTTGTAAGCTGACACTAGAGGTGTAATGGATACATGTAGATGGTCGAGTAACATGTAGTTTGTTTCTTTGTCACAGGTATTTGAAGTATCTTACAAAGAAGTACCTCAAGAAGAACAACTTACGTGACTGGCTGCGAGTTGTATCCTCAGCGCAGACCACTTATGAGCTGCGGTACTTCCAGATCAATAATGAAGATGAAGATGAGGAGGGAGAAGATGAATCTTGATCAGATTCAAATTTGTAACTTTACATGAATGTCTTAAATAAACATGCCTGAAGCTTGTTCAATGTCTAGTTTAGTTGATGTTGACTGTTAACAAGAACAGAGCACGATATAAGTCATGAGGGATTGGTGCCCCCTTAAAATTCCCTTTGAAAGTCAGTGTTGGTCCGTAGCATCTGAATGATGTTCCAGAATTGTGCATAAGCTCAGATGCAGATTTAAGGGAATTAGCTGGGAAAAACTGTGGTAGAGATGAGCATGTGTTGCAAATGTAATCATTTCTCTCAATCCTTGATTGTCACGTAAGGCATTCCTGACATTCTCAAAATTGGCCCACTCCCCAAGTGGGCCAATAAGAAAGTTAGAGAGGGAAAAACGCTTTCTTTTCCAGTTTTTTTTAATACATCCATTTTATTTTGTTTTCAAATTAAAATTACAATTATAACATGCCCGCAGATAGCTGAGCTAATCTACTGTAAGTGGGTCATGTTTACATGAATTATTGGTGCTCATTGACCGAGAATTATTATTTATTCAAAAGTTGTTTCTTACCCCAAGTCAAATCAAAGTTCAAAATCTTTGATGCCCAGATCATTAGTGCACTTGTCTGGCTGGGTAATCACACGCTTGATTGATGTGCTGTCAGTTCTTATAACCCATCAAATATTTTCACTTGCATGGGATTGGTCTAAAAGCGTCACATGACTAAATACCGGTATGGCCTGGCTAAATCTGGGCATAGTTTATAGAGGGGAATGGTTATGTTTTTGTTCTCTTTTTTGGCCTTGATCATGCTCAAAACACAATAGTTGTTTACTACTGACCGAGGAACTAACCAATAAAAACGTTTTGGTTACAAAATTCATGCATAGTGTTTGAATGCAAAACAAAACATTGTGCACGGACCTTCCAACATAAATCTGGGTATCTTTGTTTGCTCCTTTGATGTTTGCCAGGCTTCATAACCATTCCCCTCTACTAACTATGATCTGGAGAATATCTTGAGTGATATTCTCCACTTTTCAAAACTGCCTGTGTTGCACAAAATCTTAGAAGGACAGTCTCCATTTGGTGTAAAAATGAAATATGCTTGCACATTTGTCCTTGGACAATATCTCTTCATAAAAGCTCACAGTTTTCCTTGTGCTATGCTCTCGGAAAACTGTTTCTCGGAACAGATAATGTCCACGGACAAATATCTGCACATATTTCTGTGCCATATGGAGACTATTGTTTATATAACAACAGTTGTTCTGCACTGACCTTAGCGAAAGAAACCAAACAATAACAATACAACAAAATTAATCACGGAGAACATTGGATTGCAGGCTGTGAGCCTCTGAAATGACTGCAGGCCACAAGTCAATGTTGTCTTCCCTCTATTAGCAATCACCTCAAATAAGAATACCAAAGGCCATTTCCGAGTTACACGTACCTTGTGCTTCTGTTTCAAAACAAGTACTAGTGCAAAACCTTTCATATGAAAATGAGTTTGATTTGCATAGAAATGAACCTGTAAGGGAAAACATTTCCATGTGAATGGTTTCACACGAAGACTCGTTTTGACACAGAGGCAAAAGGCAACTCGGAAATGGCCAATTTTTGTTCCAATAAAATTTTGCCAACTGCTTGACCAAAAGAAAGGAAGGCTTTGCTTAAGGGAGGTTCAAGTGAATTTGAGAAGACATGCTGCATCATGATCTAACGAAACTGCCCAACAAGTGCTACCCTAAAAGTGTGAACCCAGAAAACATTTATAAAAAAAATTATATTAAACTAGAGTCCATAAGTCACAAAAGACCAACTTTAGAGACTTGGATGTTTTCAGTGTTTTCTACTTTGTTCAAACACCTTTTGCCAAATCAAAGAGCACTTGCTCTCCAAACTATATTCTGGAAAAATAAATTATGTTGGTGTGATAATGGTGGTTGTATCGCTAGCTCAAATTTCTAAAGATGTTCTTTGGCCTCGTCACACAATCTTCCTTGCTTGACGAGCCTAAAGAGCCTTTGTGTAGGAGGCTTACAGCTCTGCGACTATTCACAAATTCTTAATCAGAGAACGTTTCCAGACAAGATGATCTGCAGTCCTGGTTACTCTGACATTTTTACCAACAAACCTTGTTTAATAGTAATAATAACACTATAATTTCCAACTAAGTACTCTTTTTTTTTTTACAAGAACAACTCGATCTAAAAGGAAACGTTTAGCTTGGGTGGTTTGTTTTCTCATTACAGACCATGTGATGTTCTCTAGTGAAAGAATTGATCAGCTTGTTTACTTGCATAATTTTATGGTTGTCACATGACTTATGACTTTTATGTTTCCCTATGTTCAACTTCAAGTTTCTTCATTTGCACACAACAACAACAACAAAAAAATAGATCAGACACAATTTTGAAAACTGTGGAGGTTTGTCAACGAAAACTCACTGAGTCAAAAAGAGTTCACACACCCAATGTAAGCGAGTTTCTTGTGAAAAGCACATGACCATATGGTTATCTTATCATCAGCTTTTCTACACTTGCTGTCTCAGTGTAGTAAAGACAGTAAAAAACAAGTATACAGTGTATTGCAGCTGATAGCCTATGTAGCAGGCGATTAAAGGGGAGGGATAGGGGGAAACCTTTGGGAGAGTCTTTCAGGCTTCTAGTTTTCTTCTCTCCTTCCCCTTTGGACACCTGCCATACAGGCTAAGCAGCTGACGACAGGTTCAAAATCGATCAATACAAGCTCCAACGACTGATTAATGTAGGATGTATTGCATTATTTAGAAGTAAAAGTGTTAATCAATTCACCTTGCACTCGCTATCACTGTATGTGTTCATAACCTGTGGAAGTGGCCAGAGATATCACTTCTGACTGTCCTGGAGTTTCATTTGAAATGAGGTCTTGAGACTCCTGCTGACTGTCACAGTTTTCAAAAATTTCGACATTTTCTACATGACCTGTTTGTGCAAAGTCAAAAGGTGGTATTTTTACTTTACCTTGACCAGCCACAACAATCGGTTGTGGAATTTCAACAGTTCTCTCCAGCAAGTACTCGCCTTCCTTTACCAAAACCACTTGATTCACTCCATCTCCACCAGGGTTCTTAACCTGTTGAAGAACAATGCATAGCTCTACTGAACTCTGAACAACTTGCATTTGAAGATTGCCATAGCACTGAGTAACTTCAGGGACGTCCTGACCTGAGCTAAGTGTTTAAACATTGCAGCTGCAGCTAGAGCTTGCTGTTTTCTGTCTAGCTCTGCCAAGCTTACTGCCTTGAAGAAGTCACCCAGCGACCAGACAGGGTGAGCTTTCATTGCAACTTCAGCATCATTCAATGCAAGCTCCAAAAATGACACACACTCAGACAGAATTTCTTTCTTTTGCTCTGCACACTTCAAGTAGATTGAGGCTCTGCATGTGAGAATCTGTGGATCATTTGGACATGAATTCAGTACTTCACTGTACAGCGACAATGCCTCGTCCACTTGGTCAAGATTGAGACATCCTTTAGCTTTCTGTTTCAATTTTAAAAACGGACTCTATTGAGGGCAACAGTGTTATGTTCTGGGCAACAGCAGCTGCAGCTAGTGATGGACCTCGCTTGCCAAGGTTGGCAAGACACAGCTTTCCAATAATAGCCTTTCACCCAGGAGGGATCTGCAGTTATTGTGCTCTGACAGTCCTGTAGTGCAAGGTCAATCATCATGATTTGCGCTACGGGTGAGTTTTTTGGTTGTTGCAACAATTTCATGAAGGTGGCAGATCTGTTTGTTAACAACTTAGCATCACTTGGTGACAGGCTCAACATTTGAGTGTATAAATTCAGTGCATCCTAATAGTTGCCTGGAAAATAAAACTTGTTTGCACAATCCTTTAGTATGCTGGGAGTAAGCACATATATGGAAGAACCAGGTATGCTTTGGTAGAATTGGATAGGTGCTTCCTGTTCACACTGGTTCAAAAGTGCTGAGAATTCTGTCACCTGTTTCACATTTCCTAAGAAGCTGAGTACAGCTATCAAACAGAGACAACAGTGTTTCAGCCTAGGATGCTTTTCACTGTAGAACGTCTTCCAAATGGAAGAATTCTCCTCCTCCTGGCTAGTTTTCTCCAAACCCCTCGATAATGTTCTCCAATCCCTTGGTGGCATTCTCCATCAGCTTGAGAGCATTCTCCAACTCCTTGCTGGAATTCTTCCTCTCCTTCATGGCATTCTCCAACCCCTTTTTGATATTCTCCCACTCCTTGCTGGTATTATCCCACTCCTTGCTGATATTATCCCACTCCTTGATGCAATTCTCTAAATCCTTAGTGGTATTCTCAAACTCCTTGCTGTGTTTCTTCCAACAAATCAATGTAACCCGGAAATAATTTCTGAAAATGAAGATGAAATGAGAGTCACTCTTGTTCACAGCTGCAGATTCAAGAACTCTCACCACTTTCTCTATTACTTTTTCTCTCATTGTTGTGGTTAGGCTTTCTCTGACCACTTCTTGAACGAGTTTATGAACAAGAAATACTTTTCTGTCCTCGATGACTGAGATAAGGGAATAACAAGATAGTACCTTAAGGATGGTAGCAATGTCAATTTCAGAACATGCAACCCCTCTCAATTCCACTTGTTCTAACTCAGGGAGGAAAGAGTTCATGATTTCAAAAGGAATATCCCCTGTTAAAAATGCTGCAAAACGCATCATGGCAGCGGCTGCAGGCAAATTTTCTCCAACCCGTTCAAAATTCATCAGCCAGGTTGTATGCCTCTGTACTTAGTGCCATGGCTGGCTGTTGCTCCAAAAGACTTAGTTTAAGAACTCTGTACTTGTCAAGGTAAGTTTTGAAGCTCCACTGAATAGGAAGAGCAGATATATAGGCAGCTGCTTGTTCGAGAGCTAATGGAAGAGCTCCCAGTTCATTCACTAGACTTACTGCTTCCCGGTAGAGGGCTTTTTTATTATTGCTGTTCCTTTGCATTAGGAACAATGCTCCCTCTTTTTCACTGAAACATTGCAACTCCAGGCAATCATCAGTTGAGAGTTTCAAGAAGGTTTTGTCTCTTTCACGGGTTGCCTTG